ATATGAATCATTAAATCGGTGTTTTGAACTAATTCATGGAAAAGAATAAAACTTGCCTAAAATATAACTGGTGTAATTTTTTAATCCTTTATATTAAATCGATATTTTGAATGATTGATATTGATTTTTTTCCTTCAACATTTTTATCAAAAGTATGTTTCAATCGAAATCTTGATTATCGGTGCACATTTTTCTTCATCTGTATTGTTGACTAAATAAAAACATCCTTTATTGACCATTTTCATTAGTAATTTCATTGACAAGATTAATCCTGACTAGCTTTTGGCTACTGAAGAATTGCTATTAAAACATGTCTTATTGATCTTGTAATTGCGAGACTTAAGTCTTTAGGAAATTTAATTGGCAAATGAATACACATTGAAATTATTGATATTCACGATTTGCCAATTCATTGTGAATATATTATGAATATTTCATATATCCAGCCCAGCTCTGTCCCAGTCTCAGAGCTGGTTGGGTGCACTTTGTGTTATTTGACAGACATGCGTAAAAGGCTTGCCGTGCCCTCACTGACCAGGCCTCCCGAGATCCTTGACCAGTATGCGGCCCAGTGTGAATAGGTGTTAAACAGGGCTAATGATCAGAGAAAGGCATACCAGTGGAAAAGCCTGGCTAAATATAGATTTGGAGTCTGGAGTAAAAATAATGGGCAGTGAAACTTGTCTTCCTGCCAGGGACCTGAACAGCAGTGAGGCCAGCCTCCCCTGTGGCCTACCAGGCTTATATTTTAAATGTGCTATAACGCATGGCTAGTTTGATACGCTGGCTTTTTTTTTCCACAGTCCCTCAATATGCTCACCCATATGCTTCATTTTCACAGCCTAGATAGACTTGAAGTGGGTTATTGGGGGGTTTTATGTCTGCGGCTTCAGGATTTTTTTTCCTGAACACTAGCCATGACAGGCAGACGTCCACATTTTGCTACGCACCGAGGGGTGGTTTTTGAATCATTCTTAGAGAATGGTGTAAAGGCCACAACAGGAAATGTTTACATTTCATCTTGTTGTCTCCCACTGTTAGTCAGATCAGAGTGACAAACCCTGTGTCCAAAACCTCAATTCGAAGCCAAGTCTGATTTCGCTCTGCCGTCCGCTCATGCTTACGTTATGCTAACACTGTTACTTAACAGGCCAAAAACCACATCTCTGCCCCCACACCAGCCTTAGTGGATGTGTAACTCGCAGTTGCACCCTCTTTATAAATAGTTAATGACTGTTGGCATGGTGGTGGTGTTTACGATGGACAAAGTTTTCTTGTCGTTGTAAACATCCAGGTCTCATTTTTCAAGTTGGCAGCTCGACTGGCAAAAGGCTGAAGTGCAGGGAGCAGCGGTCATTTCCTGTAATGCTATCAGGAGGACTGCCGATGAAGTCGACCTGCATGCATGAATGACGAAACAAATGCCATTCATGGAAAATCAGATGCCGCAATGATTGAATAACACGGCAATAACAAAACGGCAACAAAATTAGGCATGATGAAATGAGTCCTAACTGATAGGATATTGAATTTGTTTAATTTTCTCTATTTAAGAGAAAAACAGGGTTTTTTTCCCACCTGCATACAGTGTCATTGTCAGATTATTTTCTGCTTCTCTCTAAAGCAGCAGAGACACTTCGCACACAGTATTAGTATGTGTGTTAGTGTACTATATATTATCTTTGACTAATATTTAAATTTGTTTGATGATCTGAAACATTAAAGTGTGACAAACATGCAAAAAAATAAGAAATCAGGAAGGGGGCCAACACTTTTTCACACCACTGTATGTATGTATATAATTTAAGAAATTATTGCTTTTATTCAGCAACTTTCATTTGCATCAAACGTGACAGTAAAAACATTTCATAATGTTATAAAAGATTTCTGTTTTAAATAAATGCTCTTGTTTTGAACTTTAAAAAAAAACATGTATTTCAACATCAATAAGAAATGTTTCAAATTCAGCATTGCCATCACAAGAATAAATTACTTTTTATTATAGCAAATGTCCATTTTAAACAGTTATTTATTGTAATATTTTACAGTATTTCTTTTTTTGCTGTATTTTTGATCAAATAAATGCAGCCTTGGTGAGCATAAGAGACTTTTCAATGTATGTGTGTGTCTGTAGATACAAGTGTTTAAGTACTAAAGTATCTAAAATCTAATAAAAATTCTAGTTAAAAGATCTTTTGTTAACTTCTTTTAGTTTTAGATGGTCGGCACGATTCCTGCCTCATTCCAGACTAGCACCGCTACTTCAATGGGTCCCTTTGTAGGCTCGTCTCATTTCTGTTGATGTCAGAGAAATCAGCTGCTGTGATATGTTGACTGGAAGAATAAGGGGCCCTTGTGTACAGCCTGTAGTATTTCAGAATGATAAATCAGGTTTGTTTCACCCATTTACATGTTCTATTTATTTAGCATTTAATAGTCCTCTGTGCGGCAAAGAACAGATAAGATAGCATTTGGGTTATCTGGAAGTATCAAAATAGCTTGTAATATACCTGAACTTTACAGTGTGGCTCTTCAAATGACTCTGATCTGTGTTGATAGCATTCCTTTGGCGAGGTGTTTGCTGCCTGTGACGTCAGGGGCTTTTAGACAGTTGGAGAGTTTGGTTAAGGCACTGAAATGGTCGGTCGTGTTTGGTGCCAGGACTCTGAGAGAAAAACAACATCATGTGCTGTTGTTGACGCACAGCCACGGTGCTACTGGAGTCTCAGTTCTGACCTACTTTAAAGGGCAGCCCAATCTGAAGAGACTTCAGCTTCACGGTCACTTATCTCAAGGGACTGCAATGAAAAATTCACTCATGAATCCTGCTGAAGGGGCCTTTGTGTGTTTTTGTGCGTTTTAAATAGGGGGTATTGACTTTTACAGAGTGTGAAACGGCATGTCTCATTTCAATCTGAAGCACTGATATGATGTCGAGCCAAGAGATACGCTTTACCACAACAGTGCTTTATTTGCTGTGACGGATTAAATGGAAGATTTGAGACGAGGGGGGAAAGTTCCAGTGTTTCTACAGAAGCTACGTAACTTAAAATTGTCTTTTGACAAAACTATTATGAGGAAACTGACCATGAAGCTCCTGGGTCTCCTCAATCAGATAGCTATCGATGAATCAGTTAGACTTCCAGGACTCTCCCGCTCAGTGATCAGCCTCAAAACATCACAGCTATTATTGGTTTACCATTCACAGATACTGTTATAGACTAGATCGGTGGCATAGTTGTCACACAGCCTTC